GCCAAAACCCTTCTCTCGGCCCCTCACAAGAGACCCATAATGAACCACACGCCTTCGACGCTCTCTCACTCCCCTACCTTATCCTCCCTCCACCAACACAAGCACCACCATAATGCCTCACCGTATCCTTCCAATTTGTCATCGTCATCGCCGGCTTCTTCTTACCTGTCTCCTTTTCATATATCGCCGAACACCAGAGCCGCCGCCCTCCGTCTCCTTCGCCACCTCCGCCACGTTCGCCGCCTTCGCGTCCACCTCCGTCTCCTCCTGCTCTTCTCCCTCCCGTCCTTCTATTTTTTCTTTTCCAACCCCCGCAGTTCATTCCTCCTCGACTTCCTCTCTGCCCTCGCTTTCTCAACCGTGCTCCTCCTTTCCCTTAACCTAACCCTCCCTCGCCTACCCTCAATCCGGCTCCTCCTGTCCCGCTCCTTCCCTCTCAAATTATCTTCTCCTTCCTCCCGCCCTCCTCCCCCGGTTCTTTGGTCAATTGGGTCGAAGACAAAAACGGAGAAACGGGTCAATTCGGGGTGTTCCGTTCAGGTTTACAGTAATGGAGACGTCTACGAGGGTGAATTTCATAAAGGGAAGTGCTCAGGGAGCGGGGTTTAYTATTATTACATGAGTGGGAGGTATGAAGGGGATTGGGTTGATGAGAGGTATGATGGGTATGGGGTGGAGACATGGGCAAGGGGGAGTCGATATCGTGGGCAGTACAGACAGGGTCTAAGGCATGGTCTTGGGGTGTATAGATTTTACACCGGGGACGTTTATTCTGGAGAGTGGTCGAATGGGCAGAGTCATGGATGCGGCGTTCATACCTGCGAGGATGGAAGTCGATATGTTGGGGAATTCAAGTGGGGTGTCAAGCATGGCCTGGGCCACTATCATTTCAGGTATTATAGATATTAGTCTTTAGATTTCTCTATTCAAATAAATTACACGGGTTTACTATTTCCGGGGCTTTGTTAGTCTTCCAAGATCAAACTGGTTTAATAGAATAGTGACCAATGATCATTTGGTATTTAAGTTTCCAATGTCACATTGTCTTATGCAAACTTTTCTGGGTTATTGAATCTCCTTCATTCTAATGGTGTTTGCAGAATAGACATGGATGGTTGATTTTACATTCTTGAGTTCATGAAATATAAAGATATCTGGATCTTGGGTCTAATTTCTAGGTTATTGATCAACCAGAAATGTTTCAATGATACCAAACATAACCTAAATTGATTATTAATAGTTAAGCAGTTTTATGTATAACATAATAAATAATTATGTTATTTATTATAACTTCCCTTTATAACTTCCCTCATTTATGTTGGCCATTGTCTTTTGCAGACTGCTTTGTTATTACATTAGATTTTTCTTCCTCACCTTCCTAAGCTGAAATATAGTGACCATAGGGTGATTACCCCCTAGGGGTTGAGGGATTATCAATTATTTGAATTTTGAATATGTCACATGCCCCATAGGGGTTGAGGGATTATTATTATTATTTTTTTCTGCATCTTATTCCTTCTTAGATCTGTATATTACTTTTCAAGGCCATCCATGTTAAGGCATGGAGAATTGAAGACTAAGAAGATTTTGTAATAGGAGTATAAGACCTTTGCTTGCCAAGTCAAGAAAAAAAAAAGCTTGAGCTAAAAATATTGCTTAACACAATTTTGTAACAACTCTATATTTGTCTTAACTGTCTTCCTCTTCCAAAACCCCATGAGACAGCTTGAAAAGATCTAGCCTCTCATCCACTGTCAAATTTGGTGCAATAATTCTTTAGTTGTGTTGGAAGTCTCCACTGAGTTTAAATGGTTAATMCGTAGACCATAGTTCTATATTTAAATTTGATCAATTTTAAGAAATACAAATAACTAGCAATAACCAAACTCTCTTTCAGTTTTACATTTCCTTGAAAACCATTTCTTTCCTTTTTAAGCAAGTCAAATCATTATTGTCATTGTTGGTGTTGAAACTCTTTTACACATTATTCTGGTTTGCATTAGGTAATTGAAAGTCAAAACCTTGAAAAATTCTAATATTAATACTAGGACTAAATCTTTAACTTCCCTCCCCCAATGAAAACCTAGCTTCTGACCCTAACAATGGAAAGTAAAACCTCAAATTCGCAAGACTGTTCAGCTTGTGAATTTATACTAGTGACAACTAAAATAAGGTGCTCTTATACCAATTGAAAAATATGGGGCTCCCCACGTACATCATATACAAGGAAAAAGAACTATTTTGACATATTAGGGGCCCTAAATAGTTYATTTCTTATCTGATCCACYTCTATGCTATGYTATCCACTGTTGAATTGGAAACAATTGGTTACCTTCTGAATGAGGGATTAATCTAGGGCTCGACTATTATACTGGAATGTTATAATAACGGAGAAACTTATAACCAATCAAATGGTATCATAAAAGTGGTAACCAATCAAGTGGCAATCTTCCGGTATCATTCCTTTCTGGCTTCATGGATTTACTCCTTAATTTACCAGTCAGAGCCAAAGCCTTACACAATTGATAACTTGAGTCTCCAAGTCCAAGGTTAAGTGACTGGTAAATTGTGCACTATTCTCTGCCTATGACATTAGATATGAAATAGCTTAATGGAATTGTTCCAGATACGAGATACAAAGCTACAATGGAGAAATAGGTGAGCTATAACTTTGTTTTTCTTTCCCTGGTCACYAGCTAGGTGGTCTCTATTTATTTGCTTTCTATACATTTATTGTGATAGATGTTTGGCTTGATATCTATCACAATCATGGAAGTGCAGAAGCATGCATCACTGACCAACAGGCAACATTTTCTCATTTTGTTACTTATTTAAAGGTACAAGGTATAATGCCAATAATGTCCTAAAGATGCTGTTATTAACATGTCCACATCTCCACATAGTGTGGCTTTCTTTCTAGGACCATTACCCCTTCCAGGGTCTTGGGATGGTATCCTGGATATAGACTTAACCTTTGCCTTTTTTTGGCACTAAGTGGCCACTCTCAGATTCAAACCTGCTTTCTTATGCTTGTCAGCCCGAGATTTTGCAATTGCATTAAKCTGTACCCCCTAGTGGCTTTCTTTCTCTAGATGGCAATATAAGATGAAATATTGATGTGTACAAGCTTACAAGGAGGGAAATAGATCTCAAATGGGATATGGTAGGGATGCCCTCATCTCACCAAAAGAGGTGTCAATGTGCCCTCTCCAACTTGCATGCTCTCCAGTCTTGTGCTGGTCCCACTTCTTTAAAAGTYCGAACCCATGCTGGGTCTTCCCATAATCTGTTTCTGAAGCCTTACAAAGCTGGCATACTTGTACAGCTTCTCACTGTATGGGGATTCTTCCCTCTTTACACAAACATTAATTAATGAAATTATACATTATCTTTTCTCAAAGAAAAAAGTTTAATAATCAAGATCCATCTTATTTCTATGAATCGCAGAAATGGGGACACCTATGCTGGAGAATATTTTGCAGATAAGATGCATGGTTTTGGAGTCTATCGTTTTGCAAATGGGCATCGGTATGAAGGAGCTTGGCATGAAGGAAGAAGGCAAGGACTTGGGATGTACACATTTAGGAATGGGGAGACACAATCTGGCCATTGGCAAAATGGTATCCTTGACATTCCAAGCACACAGAACACCCATCCTGGATCTCCTGTTGCTGTTAATCATTCTAAAGTACTCAATGCAGTCCAGGTAACTTTACTTCCCTGCACCCTCGT